TAAAACAAGGTCAACCTTGACACAAGTCACCATTCAAAACGGGATTTGATGTTGCTCCTGGTATTAGGGGATGAGGAGCAGGGCTTTTTTTTCTCATAGAACACCCAGAACGGAGTTCTGGCACCTTTTTGGGAGGGAACCTTGTAGGGTAGGCAAGGCGGGTTGTATGATGTGTGTAAGTTCCGGCACCTTTTTTTTTATATAGAAAAAAAGCACTGATGGGGAATATTCCTACTATTGAAGCTAACTCTGAAAGGCTTAGAGGCCCCTGCAGCAACTTTTAGAGAAAACACACTTCAGTCTGGTTTATAAATGGTTGCTTACCTAATTGTGTATGACAATCTTGATGCCTTCTCCAGCTGCATACTACTACAGTTCCCATCTTCCTTGGCCACTCTTTCATAGCGGCAGAAAATCACAGGAACTAAAAGTTAATCCACAGAATGATGGGTTGTCTGCTAAAACAGAGCAAGGTTATGGCATACATTTGAAAGGAGACTAGGAAGCCTGTAATTGTGGAGTTTGTCTGGCAAGAACAAAGAATGATTATTCACAGGGAATATAGTAAAGCTTGTAATAATTCTGAGTGGTTAGAAAGGTGATAAAACTAACAAAGAGTTAGGCATCTTGTATAGCTCATCTAGAAGCTAGGAATAGAGATGGCCTGGAGCAAATAAAATGTGTTCTAAATAACTCCTGAAGCATTAGCCAAGGCTTGAGAACAGGGATGGCTAGACCAATAGAATAATTTTTAGATAATAATAATAATAATAATAATAATAATAATAATAATAATAATAATAATAATAGTAATAATAAAAAGTTGGAAGGGACCTTGGAGGTCATCAAGTCCAACCCCCTGCTCAGGCAGGTAACCCTATACCATTTCGGACAAATGGCTGTCCAGTCCCTTCTTAAAAACTTCCAGCATTGGAGCATTCACTGCTTCTGGAGGCAGGTTGTTCCACTGGTTAATTGTTCTAAATGTCAGGAAGTTTCTCCTTAGTTCTAGGTTGCGTCTCTCCTTGATTAGTTTCCATCCGTTGCTTCTTGTCCTGCCTTCAGGCGCTTTGGAAAATAGCTTGACTCCCTCTTCTTTGTGGCAGCCTCTGAGATATTGGAACACTGCTATCATGTCCCCCCTCGTCCTTCTCTTCACCAAACTAGACATACCCAATTCCAGCAACCGTTCCTTACATGTTTTAGCGTCCAGTCCCCTGATCATCTTTGTTGTTCTTCTCTGTATTCCTTCTAGAGTCTCAACATCTTTTTTACATCATGGTGACCAAAACTGGATGCAGTATTCCAAGTGTGGCCTTACCAAGGCATTGTAAAGTAGTTTTAATACTTCATGTGTTCTTGATTCTATCCCTGTTAATACAGCCTAGCACTGTGTTGGCTTTTTTGGCAGCTGCAGCACACTGCTGGCTCATATTTAAATGATTGTCCACTAGGACTCCGAGATCCCTCTCACAGTTACTACTATTGAGCAAGATACCCCCTGTACTATACCTGTACATTTGGTTTTTCTTGCCTAAATGTAGAACCTTACTTTTTTCACCATTGAATTTCATTTTGTTAGATAGTGCCCCATGTTCAAGTCTGTTCACATCCTCCTGTATCCTAAGCCTGTCTTCTGGAGTGTTGGCTATTCCTGCCAGCTTGGTGTTGTCTGCAAATTTGATGAGTTCCCCATCTATCCCCTCGTCCAAATCGTTGATGAAGATGTTGAAGAGCACTGGGCCCAGAACAGAGCCCTGGGGCACCCCACTACACACTTCCCTCAATGTAGATGCGGTTCCATTGAGGACCACACGCTTAGTACGGCCGGTCAGCCAGCTACGGATCCATCTGGTGGTGATGCTGTCTAACCCACATTTTTCTATCTTATCAAGTAGTAGGTTGTGATCTACTTTGTCAGATGCCTTACTGATGTCCAAGTAAATTATATCCACAGCATTCCTCTGGTCCACTAATTTTGTCACTTGGTCAAAGAATGCAATAAGATTTGTCTGGCATGATCTGTTTTTGACAAACACATGTTGGCTTTTAGTAATGACTTTGTTTGCCTCTAGGTGTTCGCTGATTCGTTGTTTGATTATCTTTTCCAGAATCTTCCCAGGTATTGAGGTCAGGCTGATGGGTCTATAATTTTCTGGATCCATTTTTTTTCCATTTTTGAAGATGGGAACTACATCAGCTCTTTTCCAATCCTCTGGTAGTTCCCCAGTGCTCCAGGATCTTTGAAAAATATAGTTCAGTGGTTCTGAGATCACATCTGCCAGAACCTTGGGGTATAATCCATCTGGTCCTGGTGATTTGAACTCGTCTAGGCTGGACAGGTGCTCACCATTTTCTTGCCTATCTTAAACTTGTGTTTCTATACTGTTTTTTATGGCACTATTTTTGATAGGTTGGTCTGCTTTTTCCCTTTGTGTAAAGACAGATGCGAAAAACGAGTTAAATAGTTCTGCTTTCTCCCTATTGCTTGTTACCTTCTTGCCACTTTCACCCACTAATGGGCCAATCATTTCCTTCACTTTTTTCTTGTTTTTTACATGTTTTTTTTGTTATTTTTGACTTTGGTCGCAAGCCTTAGTTCATTTTGTGCCTTAGCTTTCCTCACTTCATCTTTGCAGGCTCGGGCTATTTGCTGATATTCTGACTTAGTTATGTGTCCCTCTTTCCACTTTCTATACTTGTCCTTTTTATTTTTCAATTTATCAGAGAGTTCTTTATGCAGCCATGCTGGTTTCTTTTGAGAGCTGTTATTTTTCCTCTTTGTTGGTATTATGCTTGACTGGGCTTTTATTATCTCACTTTTCAAAATTTCCCAAGCTTCTTGAGTTGTTTTCCCCTGGAGGATTCTCATCCATGGAATCCTTCCCAAGCCCTCTCTAAGTTTATTGAAATTACCTCTCTTGAAGTCCAAGACTCTAGTTTGACTGTGTTCTAGTGCTTGTGCTTCCATAATGTTGAATTCCAATATTGCATGATCACTTCCTCCCAAGGTTCCTATGGCTTCAACACCTTCTATCATTTCATCTCTGTTAGTGAGCATTAGATCCAAAATGGCTAATCCCCTAGTTCCCTTCTCTACTTTTTGGGAGACAAAGTTGTCTGCTAGGTTTGTCAGGAATCTGATCTTCCACTTGGTGCAGAGTTTGTTTCCCAGTTGATGTCAGGGTAGTTAAAGTCCCCCATTATTATTGTGATGTGCTTCCTACATATCTTAGATCAGTGGTTCTCAACCTGTGGGTCGGGACCCCATTTGGGGTCGATAGACCATTTCATGGGGGTCACCAAGCAAGGCTGTCCGCCATTTTTTTTGTCCGCCATTTTTTTTGTCTGCCATTTTTTCCCCCTTTTCCGGCGGGTGCCTTACCTCCCTTGGGCTGGGCCAGCTGGTGGTCGGCCTGCTCCGTCTCTGCCGCTTGCCAGCTACGCCTCGGCCGGCGCAGGGGGCAGAACCACGCATGCGCAGCGCTCCTGGGCAGGGAAAGTCCTCGACTTACGACCGGTTGGGTAGTCCTCGACGTACGACCGGTTTAGTCCTCGACTTACGACCGGTTGGGGTCGCGGCATTAAAAAGGTTGAGAACCACTGCCTTAGAATCGACTGATCGTTTTTCAAGTAGATAAAGGAGACAAACCAACCCACCGGATATCATATGTGGATACCGTTACAGTAAAAGGGGGGAAAATATAACTGGGTTTACGTAAGTTCTGTCAAAAGTAGTAACAACACGAGATAAAGACATCTCTACATCAATAAAGAATATATCTCTCGTTGAGGTGGAGGAGAAAATAAACGTCTGTTTCTTTTAAATAATTTAAATCCCTCTAGCTGTGTGTTCCATTTGTGGGTTTCATCCCACCATGTTTACGTAATGGCAATAATATCATATCTGCCCTCATTAACCTGAATTTCTAGTTCACCCTGTTTGCTGTTCGTACTCTGTGCATTGGTGTATAGACATTTGAGTCCTTTATGACTGACCCTGTGCTTACTTTCTACATAACCTGTGTGGCGCCTGAGTTCCCCTATTGTCTTACCACCTATTTGGTTTGTGCACTTTGTGTGGCACTCGCTATTAAAAGCTTGATTTTGCTTGACAGAAAGGTTGATATTCTTGTCCACACACACATCTATGTTACATGCACTGAAAGCCCTATAATTTTTAGATTGCTGGGGACAGGGATGTTCTGTATCAATTACCTCACTGTCCCCACTGTTTAGTTTAAATATTCCTCCAGAAAATCTGTGAATTTATAGCCGAGTAACTCAGTCCCTTTCTTTGATGGATGCAAACCATCTCTTTTGTACATTTTTTCATTGGAATGAAAATGTTTAATTAGATATTTTTGTATATATCCCACCTTATCCCATCTTCTGTTTTAGTAAAAATGTATAAACCTTTCTTAATTCTGTGGTTCAAGGTTCCTTGGCATTTTGGCCAGGACCCCATTTGGGACCATAGTCACCAAGAAAACAATTGGTAACACACTACGCCATGAAAGACTGAAATCCTGTAGCACCCGCAAGGTCCCCCTGCTCAAGAAAGCACATGTACAGGCACCTCTGAAGTTTGCCATTGAATATCTGAATGATTCAGAGGAGAACTCAGTGAAAGTGTTGTGGTCAGATGAGACCAAAATTGAGCTCTTTGGCATCAACTCAACTCACCCTGTTAGAAGGAGGAGGAATGCTGCCTGTGACCCCAAAAACACCATCCCCACTGTCAAACATGGAGGTGGAAACATTATGCTTTGTAGGTGTTTTTCTGCTAAGGCAACAGGACAACTTTACAGCATCAAAGGAACGATGGACCGGGCCATGTACCGTCAAATCTTGGATGAGAACCTCCTTCCCTCAGCCAGGGCGTTGAAAATGGGTTGTGGATGGATATTCCAGCATGACAATGACCCAAAACACATGGCCAAGGCAACAAAAGAGTGGCTCAAGAAGAAGCACATTAAGGTGCTGGAGTGGCCTAGCAGTCTCCAGACCTTAATCCCATAGAAAATCCGTGGAGGGAGCTGAAGGTTCGAGCTGCCAAATGTCAGCCTCGAAGCCTTAATGACTTGGAGAAGATCTGCAAACAGCAGTGGGACAAAATCCCTCCTGAGATGTGTGCAAACCTGGTGGCCAAGTACAAGAAACGTCTGACCTCTGTGATTGCCAACAAGGGTTTTGCCACCAACCACTAAGTCTTATTTTGTGAAGGGGTCAAATACTTATTTCACTCATTAAAATGCAAATCAATTTATAACTTTTTTGAAATGTGTTTTTCTGGATTTTTTGTTGTTATTCTAACTATTAAAATAAATCTACCATTAAAATTATAGCCTGATCATTTCTTTGTCAGTGGGCAAATGTACAAAATCAGCAGGGGAGCAAATAATTTTTTCCCCTCACTAGATATAATTAATAAATTCACCCTTTGCAAATCACGCGGAGTCATTGGTGAATAAGCAGTCTTAAACTATAAAACATTAGCAAATAAATAGTATTTGAATGATTTTATCATTACAAGATTCAGATATCATTTAATACTGAAGTACGTGGAAAAAGTAAATACATTATTTCAATACATATTTGGGAGCTCAGAATTAACCATGTCCATACATATTATAGGTAAGCATAGGGAGCTGCTATTTCTTTTAGAGAGGCCTTATCTGTCAGTCATTTTAGCATGCTAAACCTTTGCAGAAATGTAAGACATGGCAAAAGAAGAAAGATTTAAGATTAAAATAGCTCTCTGAGAGTATTTTAAATATGAGATGATGTATCTCTCATGATCTCATCCTGGCCATGATTTTGGTGGGAGTTTTTTCCAAGGCAGTTGTAGAAAATCTTGGTTTGGGTTTAATGTTTCATAGTCTCTGCATGTGTGTTTTGTCCTTTTGATGAAAACTTTTTAAGTGTAATTCATTTATATAGTAATTTGCACCTTCATGTTTCTTGTGAGTGTAGTTTTTACATAATAGTTGTAATTGTATGTGTCTTTAATGATGTTTTAGCCATTTCATAATAAGAGCAGACATATTATAGGATGCCACATTCAGTACAGAACCTATGTACAGAACTTCTAGGATGCTTTCTGGATCAGGTGAAATAAAGTTTGTCTTTCCCTAAATGCATCTCCAACACATTCCTATATTGCATATGCATTTAAGTTTGTGTTGTATGGCTACAAAAAACACCCCTCTTGTTGACTAAAATTGAAATTTGTATGTTTGTGCATGGTTAAAAAATTGCACTGAAGACTTGCATGGAAGTTAAATTTGTAACTCAGGATTATATATTTCATATTTTGCCTACCACTTTGGATATGCCTTTTAACTAGCTTTCTCCTTGCCAATTCCTAAGAATGAGCAAGACAATCCTAGTGGTATTATGATGGTCACTTAATTGAGTAGCCTTAAATGCTTTGTTGAAAATGAGAGTAATTCAGAACTATGTTTATTAACGTTGGGAAGCAATGAGAAAAATTTATGGTTCTGTTTATGGGATTCCCATGAATATCTGCTTAATGAGAAAACTGAATTCCAAATACCCTGAGGTTGATCTAGTAAAATTTCCAAACTAATAAAAAGTTGTGAAGGCTTGCAGAAACATTTTGTAATAGAAAGATAGGAAGATCTGCCCAAGGTGTACAATTATAGAAAGGCTGATTGGAGGTGAACATTTACAATTATTCATAATCTGAGGACAAAGTTGTGAATAATCTTAGAAACTCTTTATGAAGTATCTATTCCTGCTTGCCAGTGGTGTGGTTTTGTGGCTTCAGTTGCAATTAGGCTGCATTTTTAAATGAAAACTGGCTCCTTTGGGGAATCTGTCAAACTACATGTACATACATGTACATACACCTGTGGCTGACTGAAACCAAATAGTCAAACAAAACAATTAGAATTGGAAAGGGGAAGATTAGAATTGTAACTTTTAAGTATGTTTTCAAAGGCAAAACCTTTCTCCAGCTTCCCTTTAATGATTAGTAATAAAGATTCCTTGGAAAAACACAACCTACAAAGAATTTTTTTTCTTAGAAACACTGTATGTGCTGCTGTTCACAGGATTTATTTGGTTTTTCAGCACATCACATTTATACTTTTAGCTTACACTCTGATAGTCTCCTGTTTCTCACTAAGATTTACAAATATATGTGCAAGGAAAAAATAAAATTTGAATCATAATCTTGTACAAGCCAAGACAGAAAGCATATCACTGCCATGGCATTGGCTTCTACAGACTGCTGGGTGCTGCTTAGCACTAATCTCCAAAGTAACTTGAACTGTTAAAACAGTAGGCCTGAAACATCAGCGATTCTTCCTAATTTTAATGAGATTTTGCTAAAATAGTTGCCAAAGGGTTCAGCATCATTTCCAGTATTTTTTTTAATCAATTAACCAACCAGCAGAATGATCACTTTTGGGGGGTTTTCCCCAGATCTGTCTTTGTCCTGAAATTTTGTGTTTGTTTTGCTACTAACATAAGATTTTAGCTGGCAGGGTTTTCCTTTCCCATTTAATTAAATAATTACATCCCTGCCTTTGGATACATAGAACTGAAAATGAGTACGAAGTGGTGGTTAAAATGCTAGACTCAGAGTGGGGCTAAAGCTATCAACTGGCCTACACTGGACCAGCATGATTGGAGCAGAATAGTAGATTGTGGTGCATAATCTTCAATGAAGAGGCTTTAATTCTGCAGTAATTAATATGAACTGGTAACAATAAGAATGATGCCAGGAATTGATTGATTTATTGGGACAATGTCCACAGTACCCCGAGGAAGTAAATCTCAATACCAGTTTTATTTTTTTCAGGTAACAATTAAGATTGGACAGGAACCATGCCTCCAAAGCGTAAAGCAGCTGTCCAGACTCGGGCTGCCATCAAGGGCAAGAAGGTTAAAAAGGAACCAGAGGTCAAACCTGAACCAGAGGTCAAACCTGAACCAGAGGAAGACAATTTCCAGTCCACCGTGGCAGCACTGAAAGCAGCTCCCAAGGAGAAGTCCAAGGCCAAAGTTGATACTGCCTGTCAGCTGAGTCATGACGACAGTGCCCAGGTGAGAGTAAAGAGCCATGGTGGCACAGTGGTTAGAGTACAGTATTGCAGGCTAATTCTGCTGACTGCCAGCAGTTCGATTCTGAATGGCTCAAGGTTGATTCAGCTTTCCATTCTTCTGAGGTGGGTAAAATGAGGAGCCAGATGTTGGGGGCAATATGCTGACTCTGTAAACCGCTTAGGGAGGGCTGTAAGGGATTGTGAAGTGGTATATAAGTCTAAGTGCTATGGCTATTGCTAAGAGTGTAGGCCAAATGATCACCTGTGTCTGGCTTTTCCTTACAACAGGGGTATTCGCTTCCAGATGTTTTGGGCTGTAAGTGGGCTAAGTTGGTTAGGAATGCTAGGAGACGAGACCCCCCCCCCAATACATTTGGATGGCACTAGCAGAGGAAAAATAGGAATCTGTTTCTTCAGGTTTCCTCTGCATAGTAGGATTTTTGCTTTTTCTTTGCATGTCTATTCAAAACACATAGTCGGTCTGGGAGGAGAAGAAAATTACTTGGCCAGAAATCTGTTTTTTCCATGATGAAGTCTCATTAGCTAATAGTCTTTTCTTGGCAGAGGGATGCATTGTATTTAAATCCAATCAAATCTTTATGATGGTCTCAAACCAGCATACTGCATTGTATTTCATTCTTTAGAATGTTCTTCGCCAGGCCAAGCCAAACAGAAATCTTGTTAGCTGAAGGTGCCTCTCTGGGAGTAGTGGGTGGGATGTAAATCAAATTCCAACCTGAATGCATGTCTGTCATAGGTCCTGGACTCCATTACTTGCTGAACAAATAAAATGCAGGATACAGTACTACTTGGCGCAGGCCCCAATAACACATTATGAACTTTGCCTCATTTTCATAATGCTCCTGATGCTGTGTCATTATTCCCTTCCCGTTATTTCAATGCAGGTGTAGTTTGAAATATAAGGATGGCCCTGAGCCAAATAGGTAAAGGCTCAAAATCAAAGCCCCAAACTACAATTTGGCAGAGGAGTATGCGTGTTTTGGAAGCAGCATATTCATATTCCCTGTGTGCCATTGCTTCCTCTTTCATCACTTTAGATTTACCAGGACTATGACTGTATGCTGAACCAAACCAACATTGGCCATAACAACAACAAGTTCTACATCATCCAGCTGATAGAGCAAAATGGGAACTACAGTTGCTGGAACCGCTGGGGCCGTGTGGTAAGTCTCGCAATCACAATTTGTCTCCATAAATGGAAGGATTGGCACCTTGTTTCGCAACAGTTCAGGTCTAGTGGGGACATGGTAGGTAGCTTCTTCCTAAGATGGCTTTTGCATTATTAGCCTCATTATGCCCAGTGATTGCAGAACAAGGCATGCAACCTCAATCATAAAATATACCTTAGTTGAACAACTGTGTTTCCCAAATGACAATTTGCTTTGCTGAATGTAGTACTAATTGCTGCTGTGTATCAAGAAAGGAAGGCGTTTCCTTGTAACGTGCAGTACTTTGACAAGAGGAGACATGCAATCTTGGTCTCCAGATGGACATGCAGTCTTGGTCTCTTAGCATTATGAGTCAAAAGTCATTACATAACAATTCCATCTTCCCTTCCTTAATGGGTTTTCTGTTTCCAAGCAAACAGAAAAAGAAATGACAAGAAAACATGGAAGGATTACAAGTGGAAGATTGATGATGCTTCTCCCCCCCCCCCCCCNCCCCCCCCCCCCCCCATAAAATCTGCTGAACAATAAAAATCTCATCTGGAAGGATTATGGACAGACATTTCAGATAGTATGCAAACCTTGGTTATTATTCGTAACATTTCATTTCAGAGAAGAAAAATTAAATGTTTTCTCTTTTGTGTATTTTCTGTGAAAATACAAAATCAAACAAGTTAGTTGCCTATGAAAGCAGCGGTTATGAGCTTGCAGCAAAAAAGTTAATGTAGAAAATTAGCTAATGCTTCTAATAGTGTATGCTTTACGGCAGCACACACACTTCATGTCGATTGCATCTTTTTTACAGTTAAACCATAGTTTGAAACTTAAGAAGGACCTTTCCCATGAGACCAAATCAAACATAAAATATTTATGTAAATGTAAAAATGTTCTCCTTCTCTAGCAATCATTTCCTAGGTATGAAACAATTCTCCTGGAAGTTGTAAGGTATTCTAGTTTCACAAATTATGGTCTAACCCAGGGGTAGGCAACCTCGGCTCTTTTATGACTCAGGAATTCTGGGAGTTGAAGTCCATGACTCATAAAAGAGCCGAGGTTACCTACCCCTGGTCTAACCTAAAGCAAAATTTATTATAACAGATTTTTTAAAAAAGAGTAAAAAACAAGCTAGATGAAAGCTAGTAAGTTAAAATTCAATCTTGATAAGATGGAGATACATTAATATGTTGTCTTAAGCTATGGTTTATTTCAGCTATTATTACATAAGTTGTAGTGGCTCAGTTTATGCATAATGCCAGGTTGGTTTATAACTCCTTCATGCATACTCACATTTCTGACTTAGCGTGATGTGTGAGCCATGCTGTTGTTTATGAGTGGTTCATTGGTTTTAATAAAAAAAAAGTAGGGTTTAACACTGTTCTTGAAGGAGATCCATTCTCTCCAGGATCAGAAATATAGCATGGGAATGCTCTGGAACTGATAATTCTCACAGTGGCTCAAATATGCTATGCATGGGCAGAAATAACAGACCTGCAGCTATTATTGGCTATTTGGTGAGTTCCTCTTTAGCGGTATCACTATTTGAAAATGCATGAGACGTTTCCGTTTATTCAAAACAAGATAGCTTGATGGGCTTGGCCATTACAATCCATAGCAATCCTTTGTCATCCATGCGGGTTAGCAGTTAATTTCTAGGTCCAGTTCAAATTTAACTACAAAATCTCTAACCTGTTTTCTGAAAGAGCATGTCTTTACTGAGAATGCCCAGCTGGGATCCTGCAATTCATTCACTAAGATCCATAATTAGATACGTGAGTAGAATTAAACCCACCAGGTATTCATAGAGATGGGTTCCTCTGGTCTGGAAAGACAAAATATAGATAATCCGGGGCTCTTCCCATAGCCCCTTCCCACAAACACAATTCATATCCTTGGGTCAGAAGAAAAATATGCGAGAGTAATTTATGCTGTCCCGGTACTTGAGCTCTATTCTGCTTTAGTGACAAGACTTTGGATTAATACTGTGTTTAATGCAGGACAAGTTAAGTCAGTGGTTGGTAAATTTCCCCTCCTAACCAGTGTCCCCTGACCTGCCCATGTAAGAAACAACCAGCAAGTGCTTCCTTTTAACATATTATGGGATGGATTTGGGTAACTATGGGCAGATGCCTTTCAAATCGACTGGGTGACAGATCTTGGAAGCTATCTGTGCAATGTCCTGTCATTTAGGCTATTTCTGAACATAGCATCCTTGCGGAAAAAACATTAAGCCCATGTTCAGAAGTAGCCCAAATGAAAAAGTCAATCAGGTAAGTGAAGAGTATGAGGTGAGTTGAAAATACTATGTTCTACCAACCTGTCAGTTTGAATTCATGTTTAGTTATTTTTCAGCAGATTGCTGGATGTACATCCCAAAATAGACTGAGTGACAGGTCACTTGTGCATTAAAGGGGAACATTGAGCTATCCACCACTTCATCCTGCACCCCTCCACTGCACCTGTGACCTCTCACTAAAAGGAATTCTTATCAATTTCACCTAGCTACCATACATCCTAAATCCATGAGACTGACAGTGAGTTGCTATAGCTAGTATCATATGGAAATAGTCTACACAAATGAAAATGTAGCTACAGTATATGAGAACTCTTTTCAGAAGAAGCAGTAGACAACTTGACAGCAACATGCAGCTGTACATTCTGTTTTTATTTCCCAATTTAAATGGGTTTAGCCCTAGTTGTAATTATCTAGTGCTCTTTCAAAAGACCAAATTTTCTTGGCAAGCTTTTGGAAGCAGTTTGCCATTGCCTCTTTCCTAGGGTTGATTGAAAGTGACTGACCCAAGGTCACCTAGAGAGCTTTGTACCTAAGCAGGACTAGAACTCACAGTCTCTTGGTTTCTAGCCTGGTGCTTTAACCACTAGACTGGCTCTCGACTGCTTATCTACTGATAGCTTAATTGAGTTGGAAGCCCTTTGTATTTTAATTCACAGGAGGATCTTATATTCAAATTGCTACTGTTTGACCTCATCTCTCAAAGCCATCTCTCCTGATCTCTTGGAGGAAGTCAGTTTATACTTCTCATCTAGGCCTACTTATCTAAGAGCCTGATTTTTTTTCCTAACTCAGTCTGAGATTGCAGCTAGTAACTGATACAGTTGCCTTCTTTTCCTCCAAAGTTCATTTTATATAAGGCTGTAATTTTCCAGAATATCTTGGCCAAAAATCTCTGCTTGAAAAGAGTTGATTTCTATCAGTGCTGATATCTCGT